TATTTAACAATTAGACCTCGAGGTCGAGTGGACTACGAGCTAATAGCCCATGAGGCCGAGTCCGCGAGGCCGAATGGGCTATTAGCTCGTAGTCCACGAGGCCGAGAGGTCTAATTGTTTTAGTATAAACATACTAATCGGTCAAATAATGAAAACAAATTGAAATATCCTTAAAATAATTTACAATTTACAATTTCTTTATTTTGATTTTCCCGCGAGTGGTCTATCACAAATTACACCATTAGTAGAGTAGCCAATCACAGCGCAGTATAAGTGATAGACCATTAGTATGTTTATACTAATGCCGAGTAGTCATCAATTTTTCTAAACTTTTCGAGGGAATAGCTATCAGTAGTCAGTTGAAAACTAGTCTTTTAGTTTGCATAGAAATGATATTAAGCGACTCTTGTGAAATAAGTGAATTTGAAAACACACGTACAGATGAATCTTTTTAAATTATCACGGATTCTGTCCGTCACGGTTTTGAACAAAATACATAACGAGTAGTCCCAAACTTTGCAAAAAATTACAGTATATCGCTATCAACAGGTAAATCAACAGTCCCTATGTCATCTATGCCATCTTTTATTAACTGAGGACTTCAGTTTCACAAAATCAAAGCGTTGTTGACAATATTCTTCAGGCGAAAAGTAGCTAAACGTAGTCTGAACATAGGACGGAGTAGGACGAAGGAGTGAAGTTCGACCTTTTCGTCTTATATAGTCGATCCACTGTTTTCTTCTGACTTTGCTTCAGGACGATTGTCACCAAAGAACAGTGTTTTATGAAGGAATATTCCTTTTGATGAATTTTGGTGTATTTGAGCATCCCGCAACCACACAAAGTGTAGGCATGTTGATCAACATTCGTTCTTGCTGTGACGTCAAAAGCCTCTTCTCGGTCCCAGTTTTTTTATCCCGGCCAAATCGTTTGGGCGTGTCCGAAAGGCCGACTTTGAAGCGCTACATCTCAAAGAATATTTATCCAATCGAAAAAATTTTTCGATTCGTTCACCTACTATATAAAGACAATCAAAATAACCAATAATCCCCAAAGGGTTTATAGGGACTTTAAAGGAGTTTTGAAAGCTCCCACGAAAATTGAAAAGCGTTTATCAAAATGCTTTAACATTGATTGCTGTCAAAGCAAATCGTAAACATTCATCTGCTCTTCTTCGTGATCCGCTTTGAAAGTTCAATAAGTGTAAAGATTTCAACATCATCGTCGCGATTTTCGTCAAAATCCTCATTAACTCTTTCCCGTCTGCCCCTTGAAATTTAGGTCGAATTCGACCTATGCGTCAAAAGTCTATAAGTTGCCGAAATAGTAAGCTAGAGCCCTGAAATTGCTCGTACGAACTTACTAGTAGATACTGTCGATCTTACAGTTAAAAGAATTTCGCAACGAGGAAACAAAAGACACAAAACATGACTCTGCTTTGAAATGAATGCCAAAATCTGAGTTTGAAGGACGGCAAAATATGTTCTCCTAGCAAAAAGTCCACTTGGTTTGCAAACCCCTTTGATAGAACGTCCTCATTTCGATGTTTTTATTTTGTCAAATGCACTGCAGATTTTTAAACAGCCCTCTTTTGAAGACCAGGTATAACAAACTTCTATGCACGATCGAAATGCATCATGGGAAGACGGAAAATTTGGACATAAATCGTGCAGCATTCTTCTTTTAAGAATTTTTTTTATAAGTGTGAGCTCCCCCGCACCTACAGGCAAAATATCGGGCCAATTGCATTCTTTGGTTGTCAAATATTGCCAAAATTACCTTGGTAGGTTGGAAAATCTGCCACAGATGGACCAGGAAAGCGATCTTACAATGATGTCTCCAGTTCAAAACAAACCGTGACTTGGAGCCATTGTCTTCGAAAAATCGCTTTCCACCTCTGATTTCCTCCAGAAGATTGTCTCTGCCGACTAGTCAAGCTTAATGATGCAAGCCTAGGGGCTCCTGTGGCAGCAAAAAGCTCAAAAAAAACACTTATTAGCGGGTTTTTAGGTAAATTTAGGCTCAACTAGTCGATAAACAAACGGTCTGACCTAAATTTACAAAGCCCTGCATAAATTAATGCTCCCTAGGGAATTCAAATCCGAAATAGTTTTATTGACAGCACCTTATATGGAAGTCAATTATTTTATCAAGATGTTAGGGTCGAAAAAGCTCAAAAATCAAAAAGCTCAAAAATCAACAAATCGACATCAGTCGACAATGAGTTAACTACTCACCAGGGGGAGGGGCGGTACCTGGATTGATTGTCGGTGGATTTGTGGGTAAGTCTGTTGGTGGGGCTGGTGTTACTGAAATTACAATAATTTTGATAAGA